CGATTCTGCTGTATCGTTCTCAATGGATGGTTGTCTGGGTTCCAATGTGCTATCTGCTCTTGCTTTGACTACTTGGACTTCAGCGTGATTTGCAATTTGGATTTCTGTGCTTCGTCCACATTCATGTTCCTTGCAGCTTAAACCCCATGCATTATACGGAATTTATACCCCTTCTGCCCTCCCCCCCTACTTCTACAGTTGATGTCAACTGAAAAGAGGAGGAAACGGGTACCCAAGGCCATGTGGCTGAATGGTACACACACTTTTACTGTTGATGTCAACTTAATAACAGATTATGAGTTCGAAATTTTTGAATCCAGACAGAATCAGATCGACACAACACTGTCCTCGAGGACATTCGTTAAAACATAAAACTGGAACGATACAGAGAACATTGGCAAGGCCCCTGCGCAAGGATGAGACACATAGATCGAAAAATTGGTCCAAAAAAATAGAGAGGATGGACAGAACACTGCCATGGGCTGACCCCTCACAATTACAAAAAGATGGGGGGGGGGGGAAACGAAGAGAACAAAGAAAAGCTAGAACCCAAACAACTACCAAAAAAGCATACCGTAGTTTCTAGTGGAAGTACATCCCTCTGCGAGTAATGCCCGAATGATCTGCAAAATACAAATTGAAACAACGAAAAAAAAAGAATAGCTGTTCAGTGTCCAGTGAAAGTATAATTGAAGGATTTCCAATTAACACACCCCAAGCCTCCCAATCCAGAATATCCTCTTCCCCACCACCACCAAGACACAAACACCTTCCTTCCCAACCCCAAAAAAGAAGTAAGCCGATCAAATGTCTTGCGGTCCACGGAACAGCTTACTGCGATTCAAGTATTTGCCCCTTCTTTATACCAAAAAAAAACAAAAAACTCCTGTTCTGGGGGGCCGCAGTCCGGTTGCTTATCACCGGCAAGCATGTTTGTACATCCAAAGAAGGACACCGAAAGACAGGGTCAGCGTTACCCATGTGTTACTAGACACCAGACAAGGGGGGAATTCGCCCCTTCACCGCCAGGTCCGCCACCCCCCCCCCCACTTTCCCTTTCTTTGACCTCTCAGTGCCCTCACCCTTTCGACAATGCTAAGCGGGACCCTTTTTGTGACGGGGCTGAGGCAGAGCAGTGAGGTCGGGGAAGAGAGAGAGGGGGAGTGAGAACACACACTCACTCAACTCGACACGGACTCGACACGGCTCGACGCCGAGTCGACGGACACGAACACAAAGTGACAAAGTCGCAAAGTCGCAAGCTTGGTTCCGTACACAATGCCGCAGCAAGTCACACTGGAGCACAAGCACTGAGGCTGAAAACTGAGTCCCCGAACTCAACTTGAGTCCGGTCTTAAGTACCAGACTCAAGTTGAGTCCGAGGGCAAAAATGCAATTTGCCTCGGGGCTGAACTGAAAGTGGAAGGTCTGAGCCTTGGCGCCAGAATGCGGGATGGCGTCAAGTACGAAATCCGAAAGTGGCAGAGGCGGGATTTGAGAACGGGCGCCAACTGCAGAGGGCGCCAACAGTCAGGAACTGGGGATCAGAGACTCCGAAAAATAGAATAGCAACCTGGCGGGTGGTAACCCGCGGACCAGGGATCGAGCCCTGGCTGGGTCCGTAACACTATCCCCTCCCTCTGGAAGGCAACGTCCTGGCTGCCAAAGACCCAATGAACAACTGTGAAGGACGGTACGGGGCCGATCACTGGTCAGAAAAGGAAAGGGGGAGTAATGCAAGTAGCAGGGTAATCCTATGGGGGTTCTACAGGGATGAGGGAGTCAATGTTCAAGTAACAGGGTAATCCTATTGAGGTTCTACAGGGATGAGGAAATCAATGCTCAAGTAACAGGGTAATCTTACTGAGGTTCTACAGGTAACAGGGAGGTCCTATTGGTGTTCTACAAGGTTGTAGGTTGTCAGGTTCAAGAAAGAAATAAAAATAAAAATAAAATTGTTTGTTCAATGCTCAAGTACTGGGGTGTCCGAGGGGTCTGGGAAAACAACGTCTCAGGTCTGTAACAAAGTGTCAAAAGCGAAGAAATGTCTTGAGAAGGTCTTGGAGGGTGTCACAGAAGTGGTGATGAGGAAACAGTCTTCAGCAGTTCCGTGATGTAGACGGCGAGAACTTCAACTTGATTGTCACAGTAGCAGGTTGCGTCCAGTACACGATCTGATGATGAGGTCTGATCCGGATAGTGGATCGCAGACTGATCTTGATGTCCATATCAGAGGTGCTGCTCCAGAAGTCTGCGAGTCCAAGGTGCCGGCCAAAGGGAACAGCATGGTGGCCAACCAGCTGTCTTATCTCCTCATACTGAGCTGCAGCATGCCATCGTCCTCGTGCACTTGCCACTAGATCCATTATCGCTGGCGATGCGCAGGGGCCACATAGAGAACTTGGACAAGAGAGACAAGGGCGTGGCAGAGGACGGATGGGAGAACGGGGCAAGGCGGAGGCAAAAGCGGATCAGACAGGGGGGGGTTCAAGAGGCAAGGGCTTCGCTGGGTACAGGGGTGTGTGTAGAGCAGGAATGCGGGGTTTTGGCGGGGTCAAGCCGGGGTTTATGCAAGGGTTTAGGGTTTAAGGTATATTATGTATCTAGGATATAGGGTGAACACGATCATAGGCGCGAACAAGTTTCGTAGCATTCTTAAGGTCAGGAAGAGGTTCCCATGTGGGTACTTCGTCAGGGTATCCAGTCCATTTAACTTTGTATTTTGTGATTGGTTCCCGATGGTCTGATACTAGAGTAGTTCTTCGTCCTATGATGGCTTCGACGACGAATTCAGGGCATGTGGGTAACATGATTGGTGGAGGTCTAGGATATGGGCGGTCAGCGAATTGGGGTGGGGATTCATGGTATTCTTTTAGGTATTCTACGTGGAAGACAGGGTGGACACAACTCGTGTCAAGAGGGAGTTGGAGCTTGTACTTGACGTGAGAGGTTTGTTCAATGATGGGGAAGGGTCCGCGCCACTTGTTCGAGAGTTTTTTGGACAAGCCGTGTTCGGTTTCAAAGCGTTTGGCGGAGAGCCCGACTTTGTCCCCTACTTTGAATGTTACGTCTCGTCTGTGTTTGTTGGTCTTGTTGGCTTGTTGTTCTTGTGTCCGTTCAAGGGCTTCGATAGCTTCTCTGAGGAGGCTGTACATTGTTGCTACCCATTCATTGAGAGAAGGGCAGGGGTGGAGGGGTTGAGTTGCGAGGGGAGCAGGAAGTCGGAGGCAAGCGTGGATGATAGCCAAGGTTAAGGTAGAATGGAGACATGCCAGTGGAAGGACAGACAACATTGTTGTAGGCGATCTCGGCGGCGACGAGCAACTGATCCCAATCGTGTTGACGTGCATGACAATACTTTCGCAGGATTCTTTGGAGAGTATCGTTCATCTTCTCGGTTTGTCCGTCGGTCTGTGGGTAGAATGCAGTGCTATACTTGAGCGTGGTTCTGTAGGCTTTAAAGAGGTGTTTCCAGAATTGTGAAAGGAAGCGAGGGTCACGGTCGCTGATGATGTTCTCGGGTAGACTGTGGTGGCGACGTCCTTGGCATTGTGCGATGTGGTGCAAGGGATGAAGTGGGCGCATTTAGTCAAGCAACAAACAATGACATAGATGCAATCATGTCCGCAGTCGGTCTTGGGGAAACCGCAAAGTCCATGGAGATGGACTGCCACCAGTTAGTGGGGATCGACAATGATTGTAGTTTGTCGGGCTTGGCGCGGTTTGAAGGGTTGACTGCTTGACATGTGGGGCATGAGCAAATGAAGGCTTTGACGTCGGTGAATAGGGAAGGCCGGTAGAAGTAACGAGAGATGGTGTCAAAGGTTTTTTGGAACCCGAGGTGTCTCACGTGACGCTCAGCCAAGAGCTGGGTATGGAGGCCACGTGCGTCTGGGATGCAATATCGGCAAGTGCCTTTGGTGTCAATGTAAAGAAGTTGGTCGTGAAGGGAGTAGTTTGGGACTGAGTCGAGATCACGAAGTTTGTTGTAGATTGTTGAGAAATCCGGGCAAGAGAGGTAGCCTTGGGTGTAGCGGTGGTGGAGCGATGGTATGAGTTCATGACGGCATAGATTTTCTTGAAGGGCTTGTGGTCGGGGCGTCAGGAGAGGGCGTCGGCAACGCGGTTGCTTTTGTCGGGGGTGTGGCAAATGGTGAATGTGAATTGGGCAAGAAAGTCTAACCAGCGGGCTTGGCGTAGCGTGATGTCTATCTTGGTGAGGATAGAGGAAACGATGGTGTTGTTTGTGCGGATGGTGAAGTATTGTCCGTCGAGGTACGGACGCCAGACTTTGAGGGCATGGATCACAGCGAGGAGTTCCTTCTCGTTGGAGGGGTAGTTCATTTCCGCAAGAAGGAGCTTCTTGCTAGCGAAGGCAGTCGGGTACTCGTCGAGTGGAGCCTCGGGGGGAGCGGGGAGTCTTTGATGGAGGGGGTTTTAGAGGTGTCGCGAGGGAAGTGTTGGGATAGGACGGCTCCAAGGGCGAATTCAGATGCATCAGTGGTAACGTAGAAATGCCGAGAGAGGTCGGCGATCTTGAGGATGGGGGCCGTGATGATGGTTTGTTTGAGGAAATCGAAGGCGTTTTGGCGGCGGTCGTTCCAAGTGAAGGGTTTGTCCTTCAGGGTGAGTTCGAGGAGGGGGTACGAGATGTCGGAGAAGTTGCGGATAAAAGGGCGGTAGTAGTTGGCAAGGCCGAGAAATGAACGAAGTTGGAGTAGGGTCTTGGGTGGTGAATACTCGATGAGGGCGGTGACCTTTGAGGGGTCCCAGCGGGGACGATGTGGCCAAGGTATTCAACGCTTGAAGCGGCAAAGGTGCATTTGCTGAGCTTGGCGTAGAATTTTTGCTCTTTGAGGATAGAGAGGACTTGGTGGAGATGCTGAAGGTGGGACTCGAAGGTGGGGCTATAGACAAGGATATCATCGAGGTAAACGACGACACAAACTTCGAAGAGGTCGCGGAAGATGTGGTTCATGGTGGATTGGAATGTGGCGGGGGCGTTGGCGAGTCTGAAGGGCATCACAAGGAACTCGTAGTGCCCAAAGCGAGAACGGAATGAGGTCTTGTGGGTGTCCTCCTCACGGATGCGGATCTGGTGGAAGCCACTGTGGAAGTCAATTTTGGTAAAATATTTGGCTGCACGGAGGCAATCAAGAAGCTCGGAGATCCGAGGTAGGGGGTATTTGTTCTTGATCGTGATCCGATTCAAGGCGCGGTGGTCTGTGCACATCCGGAGTTCCGATGTTCCACTTTTCTTGACGAAAAGGCAACTTGTGCCGAAGGGGGATGAACTTGGCTTAGTGAATCCTTTTTCAAGGAGTTCATTGAGTTGCCGCTTCATTTCTTCGGTTTCCGGAACGGAGAGTTCGTACGGAGGGCCACAAGGTGGAGAGTGACCGGGCTCCAAATCGATGGTGTGAGACACACTACGATCCGAAGGTAATCCGACGGGTAAGGACTAGGGGAAGACGTCCTTGAACTCGTCGAGGATGGAGATGAGGGCGAGGTTGGAGGGGGGGGCTTGGTCGGGTTTGTCTTTTGGTAAGGCGAATGAAGTTGGGGTGGAACGAGTATGGCATGCAGTGCTCCAGCGACTGTGTTCCCAAAATGATGTCGCACA